GGAAAGCAAGATGTGTGTGTAATGTTCAGTGAATATTTTTCTTGCTGCCTTTGTTAGTGGCACAAATAAAGTTGCTCATATTTGGAGATTTTTTGTTGAGGATTAACCTCTCATATGGGTTTTGGTCCTTGTGGTAAGTTATGGGTATATCACACACTTACTTGAGGTGTCAGCTCCTCAAGATTTCTGTTGTCTTCTTTCTCTCCCTCCCTCCCAGCCCACCACCCAGTTAAGCAAAAACTGTCTGCCATCTTTGTAGTTTGCTAGCTTGAACAGAAGAGACTCAGAGAAATGCAAGGAATGATATACTGGATGTTCTAAACCTCCACAGGAACTGCTTGGTCTCCACAGCAGGAATGAAAGCAGTCCCTCCTCAAAGCGGGCACTGGTAGCTGTCGGGCAATGTTTGCCAAAACGGTCTTGGAATTGTGCAGCTTGGTTAGGAGTGGCTGGTAAGAAAAGTCCCTTAACTGCTCAGCACTCAGCAGAAGGACTTGGTGCCTCTCAAAGGGTGGAGATGTATTTTTAGCTAATCAAAGTGCTAGATGCTGCTCTGTTCTCTGTTTTGTTTTCAGCTTGGTGAGATGTTTTCAAATAGGCTCTGATATGTTGCACTTAGGCCATTCCTGAAACAATAGTGTGCAATGTCCTAGGGTCCCTGGGGAGATACCTTTGCTGTTTAATAGCAGGAAAACTACTTAACCTGACGGGAAAGGCAAAAATAGGTCCTTGATGTGGTGACTGCCAAGATCTATATAAGTGCATTTTGTGTGTCTTTTGAAAATGTGAAGTTCTAGATGCACTTAGAGCTGGTATGAGGCACTTGAGATGTGGTATTTTCTTCTTAAACTTGCAGTGAAGCATGGAAGATTGAGTTTACATGGATGATTTTAACCAGCAGCAACTGAAGTGCTTCTATTAAGATGCTGTTGTATTCTATTGACCAGCAAAGGGTTTTTCACTGCTAGGGTAGCTTTAAAGTACCATTTCAAGTTCAGTTTTAGACACATGTTCATCTATGTTGGTATTCCTTAAAGTATGCTATGCTGCTGTCTCCTTAAATACATTTTCCTGAAGTTGTGAGTTTAATTTTGATAGCTTAGAATTTTTTTCATTCTTCAGGGACTTAATGTTAATTGTGCTGCTATGTGTAATCAAAAGGATGAGAAGCACAAGTGCTTAAACTTCAAATTAGAAAAACGACTTTCACTTGTGTGAACCAGTCCAGTGGGGGTGATTATGTGCAAAGAACATTTTTAGTGCTTTAGAAAATCACTACTGATCTAGAGTCTCAGAGTCTTAACTGAGCTGTGAAACAATGTAGAAATAGATAATCCTTTACGTAGACACAGAAAATTTTATTGCAGCTTCCCTTATGTGATCTTGTCATGCCAAGGTGGTCATCTGCCAAGAGGGTAATGGTATGTCTCTGCCCTGTTGTGTGGAAATAACAGTACAGATTAACACTTTTCTATAAAGTAATTGCTTGGTTATTTTTTACTCATGGGAAAACACCAAATCTGGGACTGATCCTGAACTCATCAAGTGAAGTCAGTGCAGCTGGGGAGGAACAGCCTGCTGGGTTGCCATTTTGGGCTATGATTAAAACCAATCAAGATAATGATTGGAGCAAAGTCATTGAGTGATACCATAGTCAACAATGTTGAAATCACTGCATCAGTGTTTTCTGCATAGCCCCTAAGAGTGCTAGGATTGATTCTTGAAGGGATTTGGAAAGTTGATCAGTTACTGTAAACTTTACTTTTCTTAGTTCATTTCCAGCCTGTAAGCTTAATCATGCCTATATCATCAGTGATTGTTTTTTTTTTATCCATGGAAAAAAAATCATGTACTAGCTTTGTCTCTGAATTGGTTTATACTCTATTTTATACTCAGAAATTTGTGACTTCTCTTACAAAGTAAATCTATATGTACCAAAAGAGAGAATTTTGATGCTGTTAGTTTTGTAACTTGATATTGCAAACTGTGGCCATCAATTTTATGAAGAAAATGTTAGAATTGAACTTCTTAGTGATCTTTTGGTAGATAAAGTATTATTATATTGGATAACTTAGCACTGATTATAGTGCTTCCTATGTGCTTAGAAGTTCTGTCACCTTGCTTTTTAAAGAACATTATCAGTGAATTTGATAATAATCTGATTTTGCTTTTACATGGCTGTAGAGTTTCATGAACATAGGAAGATGTGTTTCAGCTTCAGAAACACTTTTGGCACAAAGGCAATAATGCAGGCAAGGCTCTGGAGCCTCTCTAAATTCCCACTGTCTGCCCTACTTTTTCTTCCATAATATCCTTTAGGCAGGATTTCAGTGCCATAGTTAAGTCAGTGACATTTGTTAGAGTCATATAACATCAGCTCACACTAGTGTGATTAGATAAATGGCTTCTGAGTTCAAACTAAAAGCCATTCTGTCCTCTCTATCCAAAATAGCTGCAGATACTGCGCAAGAAAAAATGTTGCATATTAATGTGCTAGTCTTGTGGTCAAAAATGTATTTTTCAAGTCTTTGTACAGTTGTTTTCAAGGGAAGATTATGGTTCCTTGCAAATTACTAAGCCTTATATACACTCTTCTCTGAAGGACTTTGAGTAGCTGAGAAAAAAAATCAAGTTATTGAATCTAATATTAGTCTGAGCTAATGTATGTTCTGACCATTAGCTATACAACATAACAATATGTTGGTTGTGAAGAAAGAATTACCATGTTGAATTAGAGGCAGGCACAATCAATGGAGTGAAGTTCTGTGGTTCGGTCAAAATTCCAAATTCGTTCTGGGTTGGTTGGTTTGTTGGTTTTCTTTGCCTTTACTGCAACAAAGTAGGCCTCTATAGTGCATCAGCAGAACGTCATTTGCAAACTTAATCTTAATTGTATATGCTCTAAGAGTCCTGTTTGGAGTTCTTCCTAGTCCTTTCTTGGGTTGTTGAAGCCAAGTTTTTTATGTAGACGTAGATTTAATTTATGATGCAAAAAATTAAGTCTGTGAACTTCTCTTACTTGGATTTGTAACTGTTGCTGAGTTGCTTTATGTTTATCCCTGCTATAACTTGGCAGCTCTTTTGGAAGGAAGTGTGTTAAAAAGTAGTTGAAAAACAGTTAAGCTGTTCTCACATCTTACTTTCCAGAAAATAGGAGACTGCTCTGCATGTGTGAGAGCAGAAGAGAAAACTCAGCTAGCCTTTTAGTATCTGTGTGAAATGTGGCATGAAGAGAAACTAAAGTCAGTGGTTTCACCTATGTGAAATCAAGTTGGGTTTCACATGGAAGAAAACATACAATGAAAAAAGGTCTTTTGTGGTAAGACTTAAAACAATTGAGCAGTCTGGTGAAATGCCTTTTGTGTCTAGGTAGTGTTTATTTTGCTTCAACAAGGAATGATGTAAATGGTTTCAGGAGGCGTTTTCCAGCCCTGTATTCCTGATGCTGAACAAGGTAGGGTGGACTGCAGTATTAAAGGTGGAATGCATTCAAGCGTTGCAGCTTAAATGGCTTCCTCCTTTCTGGCTGCATTTCAGCCATTTCACCCAAGGTGATGTGTGAGGGCTGGGATCTTCACAAAGGCTCGAACAGGAAGGGCCTGTATTGACATGGTTCTGCTCTCAGGTCCTGTGTGAGGGTTTTCTACACGTCTGGTCTTCCTCCTGTAACATTACACACACACTCTGGGAGTGTCCAAGGAGGATATGGAGAAACAAAGGGATCGGGATTTGTACTGGGGAGGCAATTCTTTGGATCTGGGAAGGGTTTGCCAACAGTATGAACTAATTATGGTGAGACCCCTGTCCCAAATAACTCTGGGTTGTGATTTTGTGGACAGAGGCTGCAGAAGGAAGGGCAAAAACGTAGCATATCCTGTACTTGCGATGAAGCAGTAGAGGGCACCAGACAGTAAGGAGCAACTTTTTGTACAGGAGTTAGCGAGAGAACAGACTCAGAGGAAGTAGGAGTGGAAGGGAGAGACACTTGTCTTCAACATCACTGCATGCCTGATATTTTGGGAAGTTGTGTACTTCATGGATGACAAGGTACAGCTGCAACTATAAGAAAAATGAGAACTGCTTCACATGTTCCTTTGCCTAATCAGAGAACTACCTGAACTAGAAACTTACTATAACATAACCTCCTTATGTAAAATAAGTATAGCTTCCAGTATATTGTATATTTTAAATTTAGGGAATTCAAAGATTTAAGGTTGCCTGTAATGTATATGATGAAGTGATGTAGCAGAGTTCAGATACCTAAACTGAGGATAATACATTGAGATGTATTTCAGTCTTAAATTCAGTCCTCATTGGCCAAAGCATCAGCACACTGTAATATCCTCATACAATTACTTTCCATCTTGTTGTCATCTTTGTCATTAAAAATGGATGACAGTGGGGTTTTTTTTAAGGTGGATGAAGTAGTTTCATTAATGTAGATATGGTCAATCCCTCTCATATCAAAACACCCATGCTCTAGGCTTTCTAGTACAATAAACTAGTTCTGCCATCTTCTTTTTCTTTCCCCCCAGACAGTGGTATGTAGCACTGTATGGGTAACTAACATGTTAACAGAACAAGGTAAAAAAGGAAAAAAACAAAAAAAACCCAAACAAAAACAAAAAAC